CGCAAACAAGTCATCACGAAGATGTCTGACATGATCACAGCATTCCAGCGTAAACTTCAACTATGGAAGTCCCAACTGGAACAGGACAATCTTGCCCACTTTCCCGTTTGTTTGAGTATCTCAACCACTATTTCTGGTACTTTTCCTTGCAGTCGGCTGGCTACCAAAGTTAGCCGTTTACTAAGTGAATTTGAGCGGTGCTTCTCTGACTTTAGAACACAGCACTCAGGCTTTGACATCTTTGCCAATCCTTTTGCAGTTGATGTCAACAAAGTGCCCCATCACCTTCAGATGGAGATAATCGAGCTTCAGTCTGACAGTGGCCTGAAATCAAGGTTTCAGGATGTTGAAATTGAGGACTTCTACCCTCTACTGCCCCCTGACTCAATGCCAGAGCTCCGACTTCATACTGCCTGTATTCTATCCATGTTCGGGAGCACCTTTCTTTGTGAACAGATGTTTTCAATAATGAATCTGAACAAAAACAAGCACAGATCACGCATTACCGATGACAACCTCCATGCTGTTTTGCGGGTTGCTACAGCCCAAGAAATAAAACCGAACATTGACTCATTGATCCGGGGAAAACGGTGTCAGACATCTAGCCAGAAAACAAAACAATGAGCATTTTAGGTACATTCCAATATTACTGTTTTGCTTGATACCAATATTACTGTTTTGCTTGATAGCATGTGAGTTGGTTAACAGCACTGTTAAGGAAAAGATTGTTCCACTCATTTTAAATTCACATTTCTGGTTAACATTGTCAGTTTTGACTGTTCAGTAAACCATTCGGCCCGCGATTTAGGCTGGATTTTAGATTTTGGCCCCTTCTCTGATTGAGTTCGACACTCCTGGTTTAACGATAGCTGTTGGCTGGAATTGAATTACCTGTTCTGGGTGGGAAGGTCTTGTCCTCCTCTTTCTCCATTAAAATTAATGTGTTAGCTTTAAAACCTCTTTTTGACCAGAGACCTTAAACTTTCAGAACTTTAAATTTTTCAGGTAGTAAATCAATTACTTAGCATTTTCTCAAATCAATAATACCTCCACATGCCCAAGGATACACTTCACATAAAAGACATTTCCAAATAGATCAACCAACATCATCCAGACCCCACACAAGGCACTCATGGATCAACACTCCAGCGCTACAACAACTCAACACATTCAGATCTAAGCCTTCATCACTTGATTCAGCAGACCCTCAAGTTCCCGCAAAAGTTTCCAGCCATGTCTGAGAGGCAGCCCTGGGGCATGGGCAGGTGAGGAACAAGCTGTTCTGGCCTGGTTGCTCCGGGCCTGGCTTCTGTTGCTCCGGGCCGCTCCACAATCAGCTGCTCTGGGCCTGGCTGCTGCTGCTCCAGGCCTGGCTGCTTCCGATCCGGCTGCTCTGGGCCTGGCTGCTTCGGGCCCGGCAGTTCCGGGCCTGGACGATCCTGGCCTGGATGCTCCGGGCTTGGCTGCTCCCGACCCGGCTGCTCTGGGTCTAGCTGCTCCGGGCAGCATAATCTTTTTAATAAATATGTTTTTATTGAGTTGAGAGAGAGAGAAAGAGAGAACAGAGACAGAAAGAAACATTAATGTGAGAGAGAAACATTGATCCATGGCCTCCCGTATGCTCCCTGACCAGGAATGAAACAACTGGACATCGCTGGTGTGTGCCCTTACTGGGAATCTAACCGGAGACCTTTCCGTGCACAGGATGACACTCAACCACCTGAGCAACACTAGCCAGGGCTTGTTAACATAATCATATGAAGTTAAAAAAAAAAAAAAAATATATATATATATATATAGTTGATTTTTTACATAGAGGAAGGTAGATGGATAGAGAGTTAGAAACATCGATGAGAGAGAAACATTGATCAGCTGTCTTCTGACCCCCTACCCGCAACCAAGGTACATCCCCTTGATCGGAATCGAACCCAGGACCTTTCAGTCTGCAGGCTGACGCTCCATCCACGGAGCCAAACTGGTTTCAGCTGAAGAAGTTTTTATTATTATTATTATTATTATTATTATTATCTTTATATGTATATGAGAAAATTGACTCAAGGTCATCCATATCAGCTTGAAGCCAAGGAAGTTTCCAAGACCCCACACTGCCCCCCTGTGGCAGCCTTATGCCTACTGAAAAATGCATTGCCTCCAAAACCCTAAGATATTGGGCGTCTTTCATTGTAATTAGAGATGCCAGATACAACAACTATCTTTTACTGGGAGGGGATGTGCCAATGTGCACCTTAGAGGGGATATTTCAATGTGCCAGAGATGAATGGAAGCAAGACATTTCACTAAGGTGGTAGGTATCTTAATTTTTGAGGGGTTTATTTCATACCCTCTTGTACATGTTTACAATTCTCAAATTTCTATCACAATTCTCAAATTCCAAGTCCTTCTCTATAACTTTAATTATATGATAAGGCAGGCTATGAATTCACTTTGTATGTAATTTGGTTAACCACAGGAACAGGCTCCAAGTCTGGTTTTCAGAAATCCAGACTTTGTGCTACTCAAAATAAGGAATTTCCTCTGGGCAGTCATGTTATCTAACTTCCTTCCCATTTGTTCAGCTGAGAATTTAGAGTTCTAAGTTTGTCATACTTTTTTTTAAAAATCAGGTTCTCCAGTGTACTCACTCAGAAGACAGCTTATACCACAGTTTCTGTATTTTTTTTATTTCCACCATAATATTTGATTATTATAGCTACTTGTTTGTTTTCTTAATGTTGAATTTTAACCGTTCTTTGTATATTTTGGTGATAATAGTCCTTTATTAGGTATGTCTTTTGCAAATATTTCCTCCCAGTGTGTGGCTTGTCCTCTCATTCTTGACATTGCCTTTTGCAGGGCAGAATTTTTTAATTTTTATGAAATCACAGCTTATCAGATTGTGTCTTTGGTTGTCAGAAGCCAATTCGAGCATGTCAGCAGGGCTGAATCATCTGGAAACAACTGACAGCATTTCCCCAAACCCCGTGGTTGGCAAACTGTGGCTCACAAGCCACATGCGGCTCTTTGGCCCCTTGAGTGTGGCTCTTCCACAAAATACCATGGCCTGGGAGAGTCTATTTTGAAAAAGTGGCGTTAGAAGTTTACGTTTAAAAAATGTGGCTCTCAAAAGAAATGTCAATCGTTGTACTGTTGATATTTGGCTCTGCTGACTAATGAGTTTGCCAACCACTGCCCAAACCTGAAATGGATGCATAAATGATTGCTTGCTGCCAGGCAGCTAAGGGCATTTCAATCTACTCATTATTGCCTCCTACTGGCCAAACACCTGAACTGCCTTAGGCAGTTCCTCCAATCTGACAATGGATTCTGTACACCAAACCTGGCCTTTGATGTGTATATCTCCACCTTGTCTTAGGGCAATTTGTGTTAATAAAAAGCAAGGGGTCTTGAGACAAGGGAGAATTTGGTTTCTTTAGCCAAGCTCCTCTGGCCCCCCATAATACCTTCCAAAATACCTTTCAATGGACTCTTGATTAATTTACACACAGTGCCTTCTCCAGATTCCTGAACCTTTCAAGATGCTGGATTAAGACCACTGGCATTTGGTGTTGGATCTAAAAGTTGAATACACACCCAAAGGCATCTAAATTTTTTTGCATGTTCTTATCTAGGAGTTTTATAGTTCTGTGATCTATTTTTAGTTAATTTTTTTGAAGGGAGAAGATCTGTGTCTAAATTTTTTTTAATGTGGAATGTTCAATTGTTCCAGCACCATTTATTGTGAAGACTATCTTTGCAATACAATGGTATTGCCTTTGTTCCTTTGTCAAAGATCAATTGACTACATTTATGTGGGCTATTTTGGGGTTCTTTATTGTGTTCTATTGACCTATTTGTCCATTCTCTCTCCAATACCACACTGTCTTGATTATTGCAGTTTTATAGTAAGTCTTAAAGTTGGGTAGCATCAGTCTTCAAACTTTGTGTGTGTTTTTTCCTCAATATTATGGCAACTATTCTGGGTCTTTTGCCACTCCACATAAACTTTAGTATCAGTTTGTTGATATTCACAAAATAACTTGCTGGGATTTTTATTGGGATTGCCTTGAATCGATAGATGATAGTTATTGACTTAGTAAAGACAGACAAAAAATCATCTGCTAAGATCTATGGTAAGAACATAAAATTGTGTAGAAGGAAAAATAAATTTGTTTAAGGTTTGCTGTCACGCCTCACACTGTAACAGTTTGGACACAGTGTATGGCGAGTGCTTAGGTGAGATGGAAAGGTATTTACATGTGTGGGTGGGAGATATGAACAGGTAGAGACCACACTCACATCACTTTTTTACAGTATGTTGTCATAATTGTTCTATTTTATTTTTATTTATTTATTTTTAAGTATATTTTATTGATTTTTTAAAAATTAATTAATTAATTAATTAATTAATTTTTTTACAGAGAGGAAGGTAGAGGGATAGTTAGAAACATTAATGAGAGAGAAACATGGACCAGCTGCCTCCTGCACACCCCCTACTGGGGATGTGCAACCAAGGTACATGCCCTTGACCGGAATAGAACCTGGGACCTTTCATTCCACAGGCTGACGCTCTATCCACTGAGCCAAACCAGTTAGGGCTATTTTTAGTTATTTTTGTTAATCTCTTACAGCGCCTAATTTCTGGATTAAACTTCTCATCGCATGTATGTATGCATGTATGTATGTATAATATGTATAGGAAAAAACATAGTACAGGAGGCTTTGGTTCTATCTGTGGTCTCAGGCATCCACTGGGGGGTCTTTTTTTACCCCCTCTCAGAGCACCCTGACTCTGCTGTTTCTCCTCAAGGGCTGGCTGGGGGGAGGCGCAGAAAAAGTGATGATTTTCTTGTGGTCTCACCAGCTGGGTTCATTATCTGGCATTTGGGGGCTGCTTGAGGGCCAGGGAGACTAATGATGACCTGTCTCCTTCGCCTCCTTCACCTTGCACTTCCACCTGCCAGCTTGGGCCTGCCAGGTTCCCTTAGCGCCTTCTTTCCACGTTAGAAACTCTTCTGGGTGTTGGCATAGGTCTGCCTCCCCTGACCTCCTCTGGCCTTCCCTGGCCTCCGCTGACCTCCTCTGGCCTCCTCATCCACGGCAGCCTGGATGCTCCTGGCTGCCCGGAGGCCGGACTGGATGGCAGTGTCCAGCCAGCCTTGGGGCAGGCAGGTGTGCTCGCCCGCGAAGTGGACGCGGCCCTCTGGCTGGGAGAGGAGCCGCAGAGAGTCCTTCGACTGGAAGGGTGTGAACTCGGCGAAGGCGCCCGTGACGAGGGGATCCAGGGACCAGTGCTTGAGCGCAGAGGAGGGGCACAGGTGCCGCAGCGTCTCCTTGGGTACCCGGTGCACCGCCGCCAGGTCCTCCAGCACCATGTCCACCACCCGACCACGCTTCATGGCCGCGAGGAAGAGGGAATCGTTGCCCAGGGTGTAGGAGGCCAGCAGGGCCCCCTTGCCGCTGGGAAGGCGGTGGCTGGGGTAGAAGATGTAGCTGGAGGGCCCGTCGGTGATGGAGGCCCCGCCCTGAATGCCATCCCGCTCCCAGAAGGGCTCCGCACAAGCCAGGACCACCTTGGTCGCGCTGACGTAATGGACCGAGCGGAGCGCGTCCACCTTGCCCGGTGAGAGTGGCGGCTCGAAGGTGATGAGGCCGGTGGCGCCGGCTGAGGCGGAGATTACGACAAAGTCCGCTGTGAGGCTGCGCAGGGCAGCGCTGGACTTGCCCACCCGGTAGGAAACGCGGACCTCGAGCCCATCCCTCACCACCGTCTCCACCCTGGAGCCCAGGCGGATGGTGCCAGGCTTTAAGCTGGCACCGAGGCCTTGGGGAAGCTGGTCGAAGCCACCTGTGATCTCGCTAAAGCTGCAGAGGTGAAGAGAGAGGAGAGGGTCAGGGGGAGGGCGGGGGGCAGGAGGCCAGGCTGCCCAGTCTCCAGCAGGGCTCCTGGTCTGAAAGGGGAAGACACTAGCTTCACAGGCATACGTCATACACCATCTTAACCCATCTCTGGGAGGGAAGGGTTATCCTTGAATTTTATAGCTCGGAACACTGACACCCAGAGTAAAGGGGGTTTCCCACCACGACAGGCCCTGGATTCAGGCGCTGTGCAGTCTGCATCCGGGGAGGAATCCTGCAGACCCGGGTTTGGATCCAGGCTCCAGCCCTCGGCCCAGCTATGCGAACTGGGCTGTTTCATCATTTCGCTGGGCCTCGGAGGCCTCACCAGCTCTGAATAATATAGTACCTATCTTCTAGGTGATGGTAAGATTCAATGGGATAGCGTTTGGACCGTGCTTAGGGCAGTGCCTGGCACATAGTAACTGCCCAGTGATCAAAGCTCCCTTTCTCTGCTCTGATTGGAGGAAAGGGGAGATTTGAGTTCTGGTTTGATCAGTCTTACTCATCATCTTTGAAGAAGAGGATGTCAGATTTCCCGGATTCTAGGAACGACTTAAAGAATTCAGTATCCTCCTTCATCACGTCACTGATCATCCTGACTGCTCCGGGGTTCAGCATCCCTTCCTTCAGCAGGCGAGCCTGTGGGGAGGCAGAAACGCCGGACGGAGGGCCCCATATGTAGGAAGGGGCTTCAGCAGGGCCCAGGTCAGGCAGGGGGTGGGCCTGGACCCCAGGGAGGTACAGGCAGGGCAGCGGGAAGAGAGGTCCTGGTAGGCAGGGGACCACCTCCAGAAGCTACGCCAAACACACCCACCCCTCCATCTCTACCTCTGCCTCACTCACCTTGATGGAGTCAGAAGAGTTCATCAGGTGGCTGCAGTTGATATTTTTCAGACTTTGTTCGGTCTGCAATAGGGCAGGAAGGGGAAAGCAGCTTTAGATTAAAGCTAATTGTCCGGAAGCAGTATTCCTGGGCTCTCGGGATGTCCCTTTGAAGAGAGAGGAGACAAAAAGGTGGGGGAGGAAAGGACCCAAGGAAAGACCCTTCTGGGAGCTCCTAAATGCTTCTCTTTCTCCTAAAGTCACCCCTTCGTTTAAAGGTTTGTGGAGACTAAAAATCTTTTTAAATATATATTTTGTTGATTTTTTTTTACATAGAGGAAGGAATAGAGACAGAGGACTAGAAACATCAATGAGAGAGAAACATCAACCAGCTGCCTCCTGCACACCCCCTACCTGGGATGTACCCGCAGCCAAGGTACACGCCCTTGACTGGAATCGAACCTGGGACCCTTCAGTCCCCAGGCCGACGCTCTATCCACTGAGCCAAACCGGTTTCGGTGGAGACTAAAATTTAAGGTGAAGACATTTACTGAAACCTAGCGGGATTGATTCAATACCAAGGATTCCTTTTCCTTCTATTGCCACTGATCAAGCAACTCCTGGTCCACCCAGGGACGGAGGATACAGGGTTGGGTACCAGGGTTGGGGTGGTAACCTTCTTAGGGTGTGTTAGAAGGAAGGCAGACAATCCGGTGAGTATCGGATCAAAGTCAGGTGACTGGGTCCATCCACTAACTTGCATGGTGACTTCGGGCCAGACCCTGTTCTCTCCCAGCCCAGGGAGGGCTGAGGCAGGGGGCAAGCTGGCAGTGGGCTGGTGGGAGAGGTTCTCAGCATGGTCGCCCTTCTCTGTGGGGTTCCTGGAGTAGCCCAGAATTTCTGGGTTGGCCTTGACCTCTCTCATGCGATAGCGTTGTCCGTTGATGAGGTACCAGGTGTTGGCATTGTAATGGATGAAATTGTTCAGCTTCAGGCCCAGCTTCTTGACATAGGTGTGAACCAGCCTGGAGAAAATACAGACACTAACACGACACCCATCCCAATGGCACCGCCTTCCTGCTGTCTGCGCAAGAAGGAGCTATTTCCAGGAAAAGTAGTTTCTTCATGTGGCCCAGGGAACTCAGACAAACTCCTTCCTCATCTCTACCCCTATGTCTTCTTGCTGTGGCCTTAGTTCATTTCCTTCTGTTTTTGCAAGAACATAGACAATCATATTCTCTCTCACACTTAAGCAAATGCATACATACCATCCTCACTCTTCCCAACCCAGGCTAACACACACCCAATACACCCAGGCTTATACACACCCACACACTACATCCTATCTCACTTTCCCATATGGATTCATGTACACATTTATTTGGGTAACATACTGTCCTACAAACACATCCCCTCACATAAAATCACAGACAATGCACAATCATACAGGGCAACAATCACAAACTCAGTCACAGCAACTTATATCACAGACAAGCTCACACACAGGCACACACACCATCATAATCAGACATATTTAGTCAAATACAAATCTGTATACACTCATGATTTCCAATTGTGAAGACCCACATCCCTAGTGATTCAGGGTTCGAGCTCTAGAGAAGGGCCGCACACAAATGACTGAGACAAAACAAGAAATAATAATTTGGAAATTGGGGGCCAGGTGGTAGCCCAACACAAGAAGAAGGTGGGGAATAGAGAGGCCACCCATCACCGAATGAAGGCCCTTTAGGAAATATCAGTGTATAGGATTCAAATATAGGACCAGAGGCCCGGTGTTTCAGACAGTATTTGAAATCCCACTTTCCATTCCTAGGTGAGTTCGAGGCTGCATCTAAAGACTTCTAGTTTGGGTTAATTCACTTGGGTTTTGTTTTAGCTTTAGGTGGTGTTTTGAGGGAAATCTCAGGTTCTGTTTATACTTTAAAAAGAAGTCATATTTTCCCCAGCCTCACAGTTTTATTCCCAGTCAAGCAGAGCATGGGATGAGGGTTTGGGGCTTTGATCCCCAGTAGGGGGTGTGCAGGAGGCAGCTGGTCGATGTTTCTCTCTCTCTATCATTTCCTTTCTTTCTAAAAATCAATAAAAACATATTTAAAAAAAAAGAAGTCATATTTTTGGAGGTATGTGGGATACTAGCTGAGGGGTCTTTTTCTTAGAAGCCTCAGAATCGGGGTTCTAGGAGTTGGGTACAGTTTTAGGGTTAGGATTAGGGTGGGAAGTCAAGCATTTTCTTTTGTGTCAGTCATGCCCCTGATCTTGAGGAGCTTTGTCACTTTCTCCTGGGAGAGGCCTGGGTGAGTCACTTAATATCTCTGATCCCAGTGTCTTAACTTGTAAGTGGGAAACATCAGAGTATCAAATGGCAATAATGAAATAATACACATACCCTGTTTCCCCGAAAATAAGACAGAGTCTTATATTAATTAAATTTTTCTCCCAACTCCCTAGTTGCACCAGGTCTTATTTTCAGGGGATGTCTTATCTTTCCATGCGCTAGGTCTTATTTTCGGAGGATGTCTTATTTTCGGGGTAACATGGTAGTAAGGGTTCAACAAATGGCAGCTGTTATCATTGGAGAGCTAACTGCGGTATAATTGACATGTAAGAAGCTGCCAGTATTTAAAGCATACAACTTGATGAGTTAAAGGTAATGATCATCGTTATTCGTTTAGGATCTTCCACTTTCCCTGTGACCCTGGGCTCTGAGGATAGGGACTGGTCTCTGCCAAGTGGGAGACCAGTGCTAGTCCTGACCTGCAGGATCCAATCCGATGGGACAGTGAATCTGGACGGGCTCTAACTCAATGGCAGCAGGGCCCACCCTGCCTCCTCCTAAGCATCCCTCCTTGCCCTCCCTCCATCCCTTCCCCAGGACTTACCTGTGGGACTTGGGGATTCGCATGGGCCCCAGTTCGTGGTACCAGCCCTCCTTCTTGTTCCTGATTGTGACCACCCGGCCCCCGATGTGGCTGCTGGCTTCCAAGACGGAAACCTGGGGTCCCAAGAAGCTGCTGTCATTCCCAGGACCAGGCTCTCCCCACCCCACTCTGTACTCCTACCCCCACTCAGTCACAGGCCCTAATCTGGAACTCCAGCACTGGGTTCCTGAATGTGCGGGATAACCAACCGCGAGGGATAGGGAGCGCTCAGGGAGGGAGCGCTCAGGGAGGGAGCGCTCAGGGAGAGTAATGGGAGTGAGGCAGAAGAGCCCCACAGGGGCAGGGGACAGCATGCCTCTGGGTCTTTACCTGTTAGCAAACCCCTTCTCTACTTTTGTTTCTAGGAGAACACAGGTTGCAATTAAAGTCAAGTCTCAGGGGAGTTTTGAGAAACAAGAACTAAGGGCTGAGAGACCCAGTGGGTTATGTGCAATTGTTTTCTTTTCTTTTCTTTCTTTCTTTCTTTCTTTCTTTCTTTCTTTCTTTCTTTCTTTCTTTCTTTTTTTATATATTTTATTATTTTTTTTACAGAGAGGAAGAGAGTCAGAAACACCAATGAGAATCATCAATCAGTTGCCTCTTGCATGCCCCCTACTGGGGATGTGCCCTCAACTAAGGTACATGCCCTTGATCGGAATCGAACCTGGGACCTTTCAGTCCTCAGGCTGACTCTCTATCCACTGAGCCAAACCGGTTTCGGCTGCAATTGTTTTCTTTATCTTTTCCCACCCAAGCAAAGCAAACCCAGAGGCAAATGGCTGAGGCCCCTCCAAAGCCTGCTCACCTGGTGGCCAGCATCCTGCAGGGCCTTGGCTGCCACCAGGCCAGACATGCCAGCTCCCACCACCACCACACGCTTGGGCAGTGGGGAGGTGTGGAGGCCCTCCTGGGCTGTGACAACGATGGACTCGTACTCAGGGTCCAGGAAGCAGTTGGCCAGGTCCTCATGGTGGCCGAGGCAGCCGGAAGTAGCCAACAGGAGCCCCAAGACCAGGATTCCTGGAGCAGAGAAAGGAATGGGGGCTGTCTTTCTGGGGCCCAGGTGTTTTATCCCACCTGCCCAGGTGAGCTAGGCTGTGTGAACGAGTGGGGATGGTAAGGTCAGGCAGTGTCTGTTGAATGTGTGGTTGTAAACACTTCATGTTTGTGATTGTGTCTCTGGTGGGGTGAGTGTGTTGTGTGGGTATGAATGTGTGTGTGAGCCATGCTGGTGTTGTATGATTGTAAATGTGGACTGCAAGTTCCTGTGTTTGCATGTCATTGGATGTGGGAAGCTGTCCATGGTCTTCACGAGCAGAGAGGTGTGGACAAGGAGCCCAGAAGGCTGGTGAACCTTGAGCCCTGGCAAAGGTCAGAGCTATGCACTAACTGTTTAGTGGAGACAATGGTAGCTGAAGCAACTTCCCAGCCAGATAGTTAAGTAAGTCCTTACTGATAAGATAGTCTGTCTGTAACTGGAAATTGCCTGCCTAAGAGCTAATGGTGTATCCCAAACTGAATAAAACGATGGAAAGGCCTGAGCCCAAGTGGAGTCCTTCTTCTTGTGTTGGGCTCCCACCTGGCCCCCCTATTTCCAAATTATTATTTCTTGCCTTGTCTCTGTCATTTGTGTGCGGCCCTTCTCTAGAGCTCGAACCCTGAATCACATGGGATGTGGGTCTTCACAATTGGAAATCATGAGTGTATACAGATTTGTATTTGACTGTAAATATGTCTGCTTATGATGGTGAGTGTGCCTGTGTGTGAGCTTGTCTGTAATATAAGTTGCTGTGACTGAGTTTGTGATTGTTGCTCTGTATGATTGTGCATTGTCTGTGGTTTTATGTGAAGGAATGTGTTTGTGGGACAGTATGTTACATATGTGTACATGAATCCATATGGGAAAGTGAGGTAGGATGTAGTGTATTTGTGTATATGCCTGGGTGTGTTGGGTGTGTGTTAACCTGGGTTGGGAAGAGTGAGGATAAATGGTATGTATTGCTTAAGTGTGAGAGAGAATATGGTTGCCTATGTTCTTGTATTTAATTCTGTGTGTGCTTTTGAGTATAAGGCGGGGTGGGGGAGCCTGAAGGTATCTGTGTCCTTTGAGAATATGTATGTGAGAGGACGGTGTGTGTGTGCGTGTGTGTGTGTGTGTGTGTGTGTGTGTGTGTGAAGTACATCTGTCTTCAGGGAAAGGGAATAGGGAATTGTGACCAGTTTCTCAGTGATATCACTAGCCCTGAGGGACCTTGGTATCTCTTCCTCGGCCTCAGTGTTTTTTCCAAAGCTCTCCAGGTTTTCTAGCGTGCAGCAGAGATTGAAACCAGAATTGGTATAGAACATGCAATACATCCTATTGCCTGTTCTTAAAGGGAAAAGCCAAGAGCTGGGGTAAGGGTATATTGTGCCCCTTGCACTAGCTCAGGTGAGAATCCTTAGTCTCTTTGTATAGGTGGGACCTCTGAGGTTCACAAAAGAAAAGGGATCTTCAGGGGCTGCCCTTCAGAAGAGGCGGGGCACCCAGCTGCTCCCAGTGCAGGCCCTTCCCAATGCCAGGAGAGCCTCCTGCAGGGATGACTTCTCAGAAAAGAGGGGAGGGGTACCCATGTCCCAAGCCTCCCCCTCTTTCCCTCCCCGAGGCCTACTTCAGCCTCCCTAGCCCATTCTCCACCCCTGACACATTTTTCCATCTCCTTGAGCTGCCACAGTTCTCTCTCAGACCCCATGCCCTTCCTCTTGAATGGGCCCAGCCCCCAGGCTCATCCCTATATCCATTCTCTTGACTCACTTTCAATATCTGAAAGTAGCCCCTAGCCTAGTTCCTGTCACATCTCAGTCCCCATCCTCCTTCCCCTTGCATGGCCCTATATCCAGACTGCTCTTTGGGTCCATCTCAACTCTCTCAGCCATCCCACCCCTCAATATAGCTCTTGTCTCTGTTTCAGAGTTCAATCCCTCCTTCCTCTGCTGCCTCTCTCAGACCTAGAGAAAGGACTTCACTTACCCCTCATCTTGGCCATGGACTTGCAGCTCATGATGGGCCCTGGGCAGCTCTCCCTCTTTATGAGCAGCCAGCTCCACCTCAGCAGTAGCTGCCCTCATTCCACCAGCCTGCCCCAGGGCACTATTGGCTGGGCCAAGCAGAGAAGGAAGTGTGCCCTCAAGGCCTGGGCTGTCAGGTGAGGTGTCCACAGTGACTCAGTCCCATCCCCAGCCTCATGTGTGCATCCCCACCTTCTCCAGACCTGTCTCCCAAGGAAACCACTTCTCCCAGCCCAGATCCTGGCACCACACCCGAGTGCCAATGTACAGGAGGAACCTCGTATTTTTTCTCAGAAAAGATGTGTGGGAGGGATCATAGAGGACCAAGTCCTCGTGTGATTTGAAAACGACTTCATTTTTAACTGACTTTTTAAATTAAGTTTCATCTTGGTTTTTGTTTATATTGACTTGACTGAGTATAGAATTCTACCATTTTCACTGGAGCTTGGAAGGCTCAAACACTGTGCCCCTGGCCTCTTCAGAGAATTTGACCAGCAAAAACATTCTTATGTGCAGTTCATGTCTGTGCTCCCAAATGTCTTCAGTTTTTTTAGAATCCTGTGTTCTGGATAGAGTCTAATGCTAATTTTGTTTCTTGTTTTTGTATGTGCTTGTTTGTTTGCTTGCAGGTAATCTCTAGTCTTCCTCACAACTGGAAGCATATAAAGATTTTCCCTTTTTTATAATTCTGAAATTATATGAAGTCATGTTTGGATCTCCACCCCCCTCCCCACCCCCCCACCATCTGGATGGCAGACAGGGTTCTTTGGGTCTGAAAACTTAAGACTTTGCCAGCTCTGGCAATTATCTTCCTATTTTTATCAGTTATTTCTAGTTTTGTTCTAGAATTCCTATTGGAATCTTTTATTTTTTTCCTTATACTTTCGCTTCTTTATCATTTTATCTAAATTTTGAAAGTGACCGTTATATAAATTGTATTGTACTGGGTATATTCTACAACTTGTTTTTCTTTTATATATAACCCACTAGAATTAATAATTACTTAATTATTCATGGCCTGAGAGGGCAGTGGGGCTCCATTGTGCAGAATGATGTCTATGGAGAGATGACGAAGGGCCTTCCTTGGGTGTTCTGTGGAAGAAGGCCATGGCTAGAGCTGGGAGCACGGAGCTGTGAAATGCATGGCCCTGTGTGGTACAGGAGAGGCCAGGGCAGTGATCTCTTGTACTCATGCATGTCCCAACCACAACCCACCCCCAGATTGAGGATGAACACCATGTCCCAGGCCTCTAGCCCTAAGCAGAATTTGATCTGTAGAACTTTCTTGTGCACAGTTCATGTCTGCGCTCAGGATCACTTGAACAGACTGGTCTCCAAGTGGCTCTTGATGCAAGATAGTTCTGTCCACATCAACAGAAGAGGGGTTGATGTTGCCGGTGGCCATTTGGGAAAGGTCAAAGACTCCGGAAGCATCCTTAATGGCACCATGGAATGTACCCAGGTCCTCATGGTGCTCACAATCCCCTCCAAACACACAGAGCATGTGTGTGTAGTCCCACAGACCCGTGTCCCCACCTAATTTCACACTTCACTGGTCAGTGTGTGCCCCCAGGAACCATTCAAGAAACCAACCTGCCCTAGCTGGTTTGGTTCAGTGGATAGAGCAGCAGCCTGTGGATTGAAGGATCCCAGGTTTGATTCCAGTCAAGGGCACATGCCTGGGTTGTGGGCTCAATCCCTGGTAGGGAGTGTGCAGGAGTCAGCCCATCAATGATTCTCTCTCATCATTGATGTTTCTATCTCTCTTCCTCCCTCTCCCATCCTCTCTGAAATCAATAAAAATATATTAAGAGAGAGAGAGAGAGAGAGAGAGAGAGAGAGAGAGAGAGAGAGGGAAACCCACCCACCCCATTGTCAAGGAGGGCTGGAGAATGTACCCTGGAAGGATCCTTTGATAATATCCTGCCTGTTCACTCTCCCCCACAGCCCACCCCTACACACACACACACACACACACACACACACACACCCCTCTTTGTCCTTCACGCGGGGCAGTCCTGGAGCAGAACTGGGAGATTGGGGCCAGGCTCACTAGAGATCAAAGGCACTTTGGGAGGGAATGTCCTCAGAATGGGAGCAGCTGCCCTTCCCCCATCAACCTACCAGCAGCCCATTCCGGAGAGGCCCCCATTCCCCATCAGAGCATCCAAATGTGAGGCCAGGGACCACCCAGGAGAGCTGCTCAGGCCTTGGCAGAACTAGGAGCTATGTTGTGTGTATGTGTGTGAGTGTGTGTGTGTGTGTGTGTGTGTGTGTGTGTGTGTGTGTGAGGGTATCGGCTACCTCAGTTTTCTCATCAGTACAGTGGGGAACAGAGACAATCCTGTGACCTGGGCCCCTCCGATCCTGACTTCTGCTTTGGGGCTGACCAGTAGACCTAGGGAGTGTGTTCTTTGTGCTCACACAACCTCTGCCCGTGCAACCGGGCCCAGAACACCCGTTCCTGGAGAGGGAGTGCTGGGAGCAGCGAAGAGAAGCTGCGAGGCACCAGAGAGCCTGTGCAGCCTCCTCTAGCTCAGCCACGGAGGAGTGAGCCAGGTCCCTGCCCTGGGACTGTCCCGGCCACTGAGCAGCAGTCATCACACACACAGATCAGACACAGGGCTGCAGCCCCACGAGCTGAGGACTCAGGACTGGTGTTTGGAGACGAAGGGAAGGCTCCCCCAGTAAACACAGGCTGGGTACACACATGGCTCTCAGTACTGTAAGGCGACTGAATGAAAGCCACACAAGTGGGTGGGTGGATGGATGGATAGATGGATGGATGGGTGAATAAATGTTGGAGGCCATGCATTCATGTGGGTTGAAACCCTCTGCTTGCCCAGGCTGAGACTTCTTGGGGATTGTCCCTGCTCTGACCCTGGTGTGCATCCTTCCCCCAGCAGGCTGCAGCTCCCCAGGAAGGGGCCAGGACACCCTGTGACACAGCCACCAGGTGACCACGCTGTGCTCGGTGAACATTCCTGAGAGCGGAGTAGTGATGTCCACCTTCCCCTCAGACTGAGAACTCTTCACAGGCATCTTCAGTGTCTGGCTCAGATTTCTAAAAGATTAACTAAAGAAGGTAGCTAGAGACTGGGATGCCAGGAGACAGGCTTTTATTGGAGAGAAGGGTACCTAAGCCGGCTGCTTCCAAAAAGAAAGAGGCCTGAAGACACCCGGGGGGTCTACTTTTAAGGAGAGGATAGGGGACGGGACTTACAGTAGTAAGCACACACTGATTGATGATTAGGGACCTAAGGACTTAGGAATCGGGGGGCTTAGGATATTTGGCAGGTGCTAATTGGTGGGTCAGTGCTCAGGTATGTCTGGCCCCAGGTGGGGTTTGTGTCTGTCCATCAATTGGAGGAAGGGAGGATCTATCAATTTCTTCCTCCCTCCATCCCATTGTTCTCCAGAAGACAAGGGATTGCAGGCAGGCCGGCCACTTTCTTGTTATGTGGCCTTAGGTCATTCTTTCTGGCTCAGCCTCAGTTTCCTTATATAAAGTGCAGACAAAACTGCCTTCTTTGCTTTACTGGATGTGGGTTGTTACCATCCTAACTAGCTAGTTAATATTAATAACAGGAAGAAGGCGAAGGAGAGGCCAGACGTTGTAAGCATGCTCCTCTGGGCAGCTTCACCAGGAAGCGGCAATTTCACACTTCTCAAGGAGCCACCTGTCCCTTTTCTGCAAATCACGGGGGAAAGGGGTCCAACCAAGGGGAAGATGGGCGCATGCTCAGTGAAGTTGGGGTGATGTAGGGAAGGTTAGCTAGACATCTGTCAGTCTAGCCTGGGGAACAAAGATCATTGGCCAGCATGGCAGAGCCACTGCCAGCATGTGAAATCCGAAGGCTTAATTGATTAAGCTCCTGGTTATAACCTGAAACAAAGAGTTATCTCTCGCCAAAACCAGTTTGGCCCAGTGGATAGAGCGTCAGTCTGTGGACTGAAAGGTCCTAGGTTCGATTCCAGTCAAGGGCATGTACCCAGGTAGGGGGTGTGCAGGAGGCAGCTGGTTGATGTTTCTCTCTCATCGACATTTCTAGCTCTCTATCCCTCTCCCTTCCTCTCTGTGGAAGATCAATAAAATTTAAAAAAGGAAATAAAGAAAAAGAATTCTCTCTCTCTTGCTCCTCTGGCTTCACTCCTGCTTCCTTGCACTCACTTGCTCCATCACCCACACTAGTAGGCCACGTGGCCCTAGAAACTCCATACAGACCCCACACACAATGGACTGCAGCTGGGAACACAGGTAAGCTACCAAGTGCAGGACCGGGCTGTGCTGTGATATAGAGCAAAGTCTCCAGGCAGTGGCTTTAATTCTAGCTGTGCTACAGACAAGATGGGAATCTATGGCAGAATGGAGGGCGATGACACCATGGAGGGGAGCTCCCTTCATGTTACTGAGAGGGCAGGGCAGGGCGAGGATGAGCTCCCGACTCCGCCCCACAGGGCGAAGTTATCCCTAGCCCTCACCCAACCAATCAGGGTTAGCCGAGGCAGTGACATCACCACCGACCAGAGTAAAACCCCTGGACTGGGAGAAGTTCGCTCTCTCTTCCGCCATGCTGCCAGCATGGGTGGGAGGGGCCCATGCTAGCATGGAGAAGGCTCTTTTGTTTATTGCATCGGACTCGGCTCCCTGGTGGTCCTTGAGGATCACGAAGTCTGGGCATAACAATTAGAATATCTTTCATTCCCTTCTCCCTCTCGGAAGGTGAGGAGAGACACTTGGGGGAGGCAAAATAATCTCATTCTATATGAGGTTGGGTCAGATTTGCTTTGGTAAACACCACTCTATCTGTAGGTTCATTATCAAAAGAGGTCAATTTGTAGGCTCCCAGACTAGTGGGCTGTTTGATCTCTAAACATGGGCAATTTTGATATGAACTTCAGCTCTCAAAAGTTCTGTCAATGCTGGAGATTCTATTATCATATTTTTCACTGATTGATAGCCCCCTCCACTTTGTTAAACTTTCATGGAAGT